AATGTCAAATATATTATCATACCAGCATGGTACAAGGAGATTTCAATATCTCCCATTTCCTTTTGCAGCTCCATCCTCCATTCCAAGACCTCCCTTGGGATCCTTGCAAATCCAGACGAGTAAGAAATCAACAAATTTGCACGAGAACTCGCTCCACGAAGGTTAAATCAGGTTAAATACATTAATATAATAGTACCCTGCAACGAATTCTTACCTACGTCGCGGCTCCTTCCACGTCCAGGTCCTTTGTTAATGTTCAGTTTGCTATTTCAGATGGTAAGTTGCTTCGATCCCCACTTTTGATCCCCATGAATGAAGAGAGCAGAAGCCTAGGTCGACGAGTTCCAGACCGCGATAATTGCAAAGTATTCCTGCGCGACAGGAAGAAAGAGCGTTGGCTTTCACAAAGAGCATAACGACACGGACAATTTGTAGCGGAGTGTCAACGAAGCCGTTTCTATTTTCGAGACGACGCGCACGGCTATCTTTTCGCCTCCTCCCTCGTCGCCAGCCGCTGTCTTTCTCCGTCTCCACCTACTAAACGTTTTTCACCGCTTCCCTCCGCTTCTGCGCCGATTCTCTCCGACTCTCTCTATCTTCCTCGGAATTGAAACATGTTGTTCTCCGTACAATAATAAGAAGAGGTAGTGCTCTATTATACTTGCGTTGTATTTTACTTTGTAAGGTAGAATTAAACTCGCACACTATACAAGAATGGGAAGAGACTTCCGTCTATGGAACAGAGAGGCCATTAAACAAAATTATACGTTGTATTTTATACTTTGTACGATAGAATTAAGCTAGGAGACGGAGTAGATTGCCTGTAAAATTTTTGTAAAAGTCCTGGACAGTGGTCATGGATACGTTGAGACGCGGACGAATTGCTTTTGTCGTCTAAATTCGTCTCTGAAAAATTACTCGGCTCGTTTGCGCGGTCGTTAGAGTGGATTTAACTGGACGAGACGAGGGAGAGTGTGTCAGATATCGTTCGACCGAGTTTTGGTAATCCTCGGGCGGAACGGACGGCAATAAATTCTCCGGAGACGCCGCGTCGAGAGGAACCAGTGTTACGCGGCCCGCCTCGCTCCATTTACCTCTCGAGACGTCACCTAAAATCGGTTAATTATATACTCCGGCTCCTGACAACTTCGGTAGATCGATATCCACGAGTAACAGGCTAGCCTTTTCTGTTCAGAAGCTAACTCTTCTAGAATGAGTCGGTGACAACGCATTAGATACTTTCTTGACCTGTTTGTTTATAGAGTTTTTGCTCGAAAGAATGTTTACTTCTTCTTTCTGGAGAGATAGGTTGCTACTGTTACCCAATCGGTATTACAAAGGCAAAGTGAATCGAGGTAGAGAGAAGCACGCGCGCGAGGGTCCCGTAGAGCCGCTAATAGTCGCCTAAACGGTCGACACGCTTGCCCTGGCTGTCTCGCTATATGTCACCTCCGCCCTCTATTTACACGCCATGGACGATGCACGTGCGTGTGAATCTCGTCGCGACGGAAACGAAGGAATTCCAGCCGCCTCGAGCGTTACTCTCGACTTGACACCTCGAAACCGTGCGATAGCCAAGCAAATACGTACTTAAATATGTTTAATATCAAATAAGTTACGGTTTAAATAAACAGGGGGATCGCTGCACCCTGGAGCCATGATAACATTCAAATTGTTGGCATCAGGTGATCAAAGTAGATAAAGGCAGCTCTGCAGGGGGCGAAAACGTTCTAAAAATAACTGATTCAAACTCTTATAAGAACCGAGAAGATGTAGTTGTAGATGTAGCAGTTGTAGATCAGATAATTTTCAGCTTAGTACCAACATGTTTCTATAACTCAGTTGTGTAGGAACAATGTAATATCCACGGAGAATCATCCCGGTTCTTACAACCGTTTCGAATCTGGGAACTGTAACTGAACTGTTGTAACTGCGTCCAACCCCTGCAACTGTCCGGGTCTGCGCGAGGGCAGCCTATGCCAAGAATGCTAAGGCACCGATAGCGTCACGTTGCGCAGTAAAATACTGCGCCCACATCTTTGTAACCCGAGCCATCCGCGAGGCGAAACGTCGAATGATTTACCTGACTTTCAGTGGATTCGTTCCACGAGGGCCCCGAATGATTAATGCCCGTGTTTGCTTGTCGAATCTGTTTAAACCGGCCGATATCTGGCGTTTATGTTCACGGGGTATCGCGTTCCGTTTCTCGAGGAGTAAATCGTGACCCAAATTGGTCATCCAGTGTGGCCGAGCAATCGTTAACGTCGGGACTTTTATCGTTGACTGTGGTCGACCGGACCCTTGCTTCTGTTTATGCAAATGTTTTGTAAAATGTATTCTTGTAAACATTGTGTTTAGATATATGTAGAAATTGTAGGTAACATGCAGTATGTATTGCAATGTCTTAGAGTACATCCAACTGTAATGATGTTATTTCGCTAAAATAATGATGTCTTAGAGTATATTCAATTGAAATAATGTTATTTTGATAAAGTAATCTTGGTCTAGAAGCTTCAAATGTAGCGACAAACTAACCAATTACTGTTCTAATTATTTCAGAAGCCTGAAAGCAGTGGAAAGAGAGGAATGACAGCACATTGTAAGCTTGGATCTGAAAAATAGACCTGAAAAGGATTTCTTCCCTCTATTATTTATAATTTAATACTCAGCCAATCAAGA